TGGCCACGTCGTTGTAGGGCCAGGCGGCAGCTTCGTCTCCGATGACGAGGCCAACCACGTGCTGATCTCCGGGCAGTTGCCCGGTGAATGGCTGTACGGGCTGCGCAACCGACAATAATTTAGTGCCCGGATGCGCGTTGTTCCAATGACCCCACGTGGTCAACTGGGCAGGGATCAGATCGAGAGCGCTGCCGGACCGGGGGCCGGCGATGGCTGCACCCAATGGCTGTGACCAGACGCTGCCGGAATCGTGGTCGTACCAGGTCATTGCGCCTTTATAGAGGGCTCCCTGATTTCCGAATACGGCTGCGACGTCCCCAACCCTGCGGTCATACACCATGGCCGTGTAGCACAACGGGCACCAGGTGACCAACACGGGCACGCCGCCCACGACATCGTTCACCATCTCACGGTTGTAGAGAATGGCGAGCGGATACGCCCTGGCGTCGCCGTTGACGACCAGCCCGATCACCAGTTCGTCATCCTGAAGATTGGCTACGGCAACGTCGATGAACATCGGGTCGTAGACGGGTGGTATGTCGTCGGGTCGTCGCAGTTGGTGGTAAGCCGAATCGACGAAGTCTGGCGCAGTTGGTCCGGTTGGGCCGATGAATTCATCCACCGCGCCGTCAACTACAACGTCGTAAGGGCGAGCGTACTGTGCGTTTGCCGACGGCTGGGTCGGGTCGGAGCAACCAGAGTTGCCGACGATCAATACGGATGCGAGCAACCCAACCGCGATGCTCACGCGCACGCACTTTGTCATTGCGACCCCGTACTCGATACGGGGGTTGGCAATCTCGTTGAGGCTGAACACACTAGACGATCCTTCGACAAGCTCAGGACGAACGGCCCGGTGGGGCCGGCCGAGATTGCCGCGTCACTGTGCTCCTCGCGATGACAGGTTAAGTCGGGTGCGTGTGAGAGCCGCGATGTACTTTCCAATTGTCGAGTGTATCTGCATAACACGATCTTACCTGTTGACGGATTTTATGGCTGGCCGATGTCCACCGATTCGCTGGGATCTGCCGGGTGCGAGGCGCGTCTACGCAACCTGGCCAGCAACGTCCAGCGTCGCGGGGACACAACGACCACCACCAGCAAAATGCCGACTGACGTTACGACGATTGCAGGGCCGGTGGGCAAATTCAGATAGTAGGACAAATACAAACCGGCTACGACCGCAACCAGTGCGGTAGCCACCGTAGCGGCCATCATTGTTGCCAGTCGTCGGGCCAACAATGTACCGGTAACCGCCGGCACTACCAGCAATGACATTACCATCACGTTGCCTACCGTTTTCAGAGCGGCCACTGTGGTTAGCGCAACCAGGAGGGGAAGCATGTATTCCAGGAACCGGACCGGCACACCGGATGCTTCTGCCACTGCTGAATCGTAGGTAGTGAATACGAGCTCTTTGTAGAAAAGACGCACCACGAGCAGAACGCCGGCGGCCAACAGCCCAACCACCAGAACATCGCCCCAGGATGCACCCAACACGTTGCCGAAAAGCACGCTGAGGAGGTCGCCGGCGTAGTTGGCAGACGTGTCGATGATGATCACGCCCACGGCGAACCCACCGGCGAACATGACGCCAATGACCGCGTCGATGCGAACCCCAGCACGGCGAGTAACCGCCGAAATCGCTAGAGATGCGGGAATCGCCCACAACAACGCTCCGACGAATATGTTGATGCCGAAGAGGAAGGCTGCCGCCATGCCGGTCAGGGCGGAATGAGCGATAGCGTCGCCGAGGAACGCCATCCCTCTCAGCACGACGAAGGTTCCGACTACGCCGCAGGCGGTGGCGGCCAACGCCGACACCAGCAGGGCGCGTTGCATGAACCCGAATTTGCATGGGTTCGATGATCAGATCGAGCAACTCACGCCTCTCGGAAACATCCCGAAACCGCGATCCAAACGAAGGTAATTATTGAGCCGGATTGTAGGTGCGTTGCGCATAGAGACGCTGCAAACATTCATCTGAGGTTGGCGGCGAGCGCGTCAGCGTTGGCCCGCATCATCTCGAGGTAAGTTGGGTAGTCAACGTCTGGTGTCGACCGAATAATACCGACGGAAATCCCGGCATCGTGCGCCACCTGTGCGAGGGCATCTGCGGAAAATTGCGGTTCGGAAAATACGGCCGGAAGGTTCCGGTCCCCCTCCAGATCAAGGACCGCAACTATATCGTCGGGGGCGACGTCTCCACCGTGGCTGCCAACGAACGCCTGCACCTCGAATCCGTAACGGGAACCGAAGTATCCATAGGCGTCGTGGAAGGTGACCAACACGCGCCGACTTGACGGGATTTCGGCAATTTTGGCGGAGATGTACGCGTCCAGCGCTTCCAGTTGGCTGATGTACTCGGCCGCATTGTCCAGATACTCCTGGGCGTTGACCGGATCGGTGGCGACTAGGCCATTGGCGATTTGGTTGACGTAATGCACTGCGAAATGCGGGTCTAACCAGAAATGCGGGTCGCCGCGGAGATGAACCTTGCCGTCGTCATCGTGGACATCGTCGTCATGGCCGTCGTCGTCGTGGCCGGTTGACGGGAAAGGTGACTCGTTCATCCGGCTGGGCGTTAGTCCATCGGATGCCACGACTTGCACCGCATCCGGAGATGCCGAACCTTGAACGAGTCGGTCCAGGCTGACAAATAATCTGGCGCCGTTGGAGACGATCAGGCTGGCCTGAGAGACTTCGACGTTGTCCCGCGGTGTGAACTGATAGGTGTGGACATCGCTTCCCGGCGGCACCAGGTTATAGATTGAGACGCGATTGCCGCCGACCTGACGGACCAGATCGGCCAGCACCGCAGTGCTGGCGACCACGCTGATTAGTTCGGGTTCGGCGGATTGATCGGAGGAGGCAAGCGCTGCATCGGCGCCGGGTTCTCCGGATGCCAGAGATCTGGCTGGAACCGTAGTCGCGGCGGTGCCGCAGGCGGCCAGGAGGGCGACTGACAACGCGAGGATCGACATGACCACCAGGAGTCGCGAGCGTCGATTGGCGCTACCGCGAATTGCTGAGAAATCAAGCCTGGTACCGGGGTTCATTTCGCCTGCTCTCGATTTGGAACAGTATTTTGTAATCAATATGTTGTCTCAATAAATTCCACAGTTGATTGTAAGTATCAATATCATTTGCTAATAAAAAAAGCCCTGGTTCAGACCTGGGCGCAGGAGCCGCAGCGGCCATAAACTTCAAGCCAATGGCCGCTCATTTGGAAACCCGCCTGAGTGGCGGCTGCTTCAAGCAAGTCCTCGACATCGCAACCCACGAGATCGGAAGACATACCGCACACGGCGCACAGCAGGTGATGATGGTGGCCCTCATGGCTCAGTTGGTAGCGTATCTCGCCATCTTCGAGGAGAACGCGGCACACGAGATCGGTGCGGACCAGAAGGCGCAGGCCACGATAAACGGTGGCGCGACCAACGCAGGGCAGCGAGGCGCAGAGGTCTTCGGCGGTGAAAGGCCGACTCTGGGCGGCGACCGCACCAATGACCAGACGGCGGGGTTCGGTGTCCCGGTAGCCCAGGTTGGATAGCTCTTCCACCATGTCGCCCACCACGGCGGCGGAACGCGGGCGCGGGTGCACATGGCCCTGGTGTTTGATGTTGGCAGACGTCATAAACGATACCCAGTTTCAGTAAGATGATAGGGCGGAGAGCAACTACTGTCAACGACCGGCAGCGCCGGGGAGGAGGTGTCGTGCGGCGGGTGTTGTGGGGCTGACGATGGGTTGCGCTTGACGATGGGTTGTGCTTGGGGATATATTCTGCACATTGAACCGGTGGCCGGTTGGGCCGCGGGTGAGCGATTTGTCCAGCGGGAGTGTTGAAAATGCCGATTTATGAATACGCGTGCCCCACCTGCGGGCATAAGTTTGAAAAATTGCAGTCCATGTCAGCGAAGGGCGCTGATTGCCCTCACTGCGAGCAGCCGGCCAAGCGGGCCATTTCGGTGTTCGCGGCGGTGAGTAAGGGCGACGGGTTTGCCAGTAGTATGGCCGACCTTGGCGGTTCGCCGATGCCCATGCCGATGGGCGGCGGATGCGGTGGAGCCTGCGGCTGCGGTCACTGACACCCGTCCAAATCCGGTTTTCATTGTATCGCCGTCCGAAACCGGGCGGCGATTTTCTTTTTCACTGTGAAGCGCCGGATGAATCAACGGAGACTGCGGAGGATGCCGCTCGACGGGTGGCCGCCCATTTGCGATACCACAACACGACGGCGCCGGCGCACAGCAACAGAACGGCTCCCAGGATTGAGGTGAGGGCGACCCGCATGGTGGCGTCGAACCAGAAACCGCCGGGGAACAGTATTAGCAGGTAGTCGGTGTGCGGATTCAGAATCCACAGATCGTTGGCGAAACTGAGTTGGTGGAACAGCAGGAAGAGTTGTTGGAAGCTGGCCAGTGATACTAAACCGACTGCCAGTACGGAGGCCAGTGCGATGGCGCCCGACCAGATCGCCAGCCGCGCGGCAGTGGGGACGAATTGCCGGCGCTTTGAGATGCAGCCCACGGTAACCAGCGCAACTATCCACATTATGGATCCGATCCCAACCCAATAGGTGCCTCGCACCAGTTGTTTGACGTCGTACATGTGGGCGATCTCACGGGCGCTGAACACATCCTGCTCGACGCCGTATATCTGAGCGCGAACGGCGAGGGGTTCGGTGCCGGTATTGAAGTATGTCCGCAGTTCTCCGCCGATTCGGTCGAGGTCGGCATCGGTAATGCCGGATCGGACGGTGGTATCGTATCGGTCGAAACCGTTTCGATAGAGGCCGGGATCGTTGATGGCCCAGGCCACGGAGCCGGCTACCAGGAACAACAGACACGCGGGGGACTATCAGGGCGGTGCCGATGCGACGGGTTATCTCCAGCGTACGGGTCAGGCGGGCGAGTACCATGAATTCACCGTATCACTTGCCAGCTCATGGGAGCAACGGGGCGGTGTCATCCGGTGCATGGTGTATACTCCCGGTGTTATGAATGATGACCACAATCCGCCCATCCCAGAGGCTCAAATCGGTGAGTTTCAGTCCCTGATCGACATCGTCGCCAGGCTGCGCGCGCCGGGCGGCTGTCCATGGGACGCCGAGCAGACCCACGAGTCGCTGAAGCGCAATCTGCTGGAAGAATGCTATGAGGCATTGGAGGCAATCGATAACGAGACTCCGATGGAGCTGGCCGAGGAACTGGGGGATATTCTGGTGCAGGTGGCGTTTCACGCCGACATTGCCCGACAGGCCGGCAGTTTTGATATCGCGGACGTGCTGACCGCCATCAACCGCAAGTTGATCCGAAGGCATCCACACGTATTCGCCGACGGCACGGCGTCCGACGCCCGGCAGGTGGAGCGGAATTGGGAGCAACTGAAGGCCGAAGAGAGACGGCAGGCGGGAAAACCGGACCCGTCGGCGATGGACAGCGTGCCGGTGACCCTGCCCGCATTAACGGCGGCGCAATTGATCCAGGACCGGGCGGCCCGGTTTGGCTTTGATTGGGACGAAGTGGACGGTGTACTGGACAAAATTTCGGAGGAAATCGCCGAATTCCGAGCTGCCAAAACCGAATCGGAACGAGCCGATGAGTTCGGAGATATCCTGTTTGCGCTGGTGAACCTGGCTCGCTGGAGCGGCGTTCACGCCGAGGACGCATTGAGGCAATCGAACGGGCGGTTTCGGAACCGATATCGCACGATGGAGCGGTTGGCGCGGGAGCGAGGGTTGGAGTTCAGCGCGATGGCGTTGGAGGACAAAGAAGCGCTGTGGCAGGAAGCCAAGGCGGTGGAAAGGTCGGCGATCTCCGGGTAAGCGGCGTCATTGGGTAATCGGCCCGTTAATAATCCGTACGGGTGCCCTGGCCGGCAGACAACCAGCCGGGTTCCAGGAAGAAAATGCCGCCGGATGCCAGGTTTACCACGCCTTCAAGCGCGGCCCAATTCCGGTTGGAACGACCGAAAGGGGCAAACCGATCCAGCAGCGGGCGTTTGGGGCGAAATCGCCTGATTTTGCGGCGGGCTCCGCTCAGGCGCATAGCCTCGCTGACGGCATCGTTGAATCCACCCCTGCGGTCAATGAGGTTGTGGTCAAGGGCAGTTCGGGCGGTGAACAATTCGCCGGTTGCCAGGTCTGTGACCTGCTCGGGCGGAAGCTGGCGACTGTCGGATACAACCGAGACGAAAAGGTCGTACATCTGGGAAATGAGGTCCTGGAACTTGTCAGACTCCTCATCGGTGGGATGACGCCAGAACCCCGACATGTCCTTGAGTCGGCCGGCCTTGAAGATGGAGAACTCCACGCCGAGTTTGCCCAGCAGTTGCTGGAGGATGGGGCGGAGGTAGATGACGCCGATTGAACCCACCAATGCGGCTCGGGATGCCATGATGGTACCGGCGCCGCATGCGATGTAGTAGCCGCCGGAAGCTCCAAGACCGCGAATGTAGGCCACGACGGGTTTCCGTTCCGCAACTCGGCGGACGCTTTCGTACAGCAGGTCGCTGGCGGTTGCTGATCCGCCGGGGGAATCGATATCGAGAACCAGCGCGCCAATCTTTCGGTTGTTGGCTACGTGTTCCAGCAGTTGGGAGTATTCGGGTTCGCGAATGGCGGTCCCGATGACGCCGTGCATTTCTATAACGGCGACACCGTTCCTGCGTCTGAATAAACGTATGATGGCAAGACCCCCTTTCCGCTGCTGACAGCGGCGCTCCTTGATTATACATGGGACGGGCGGACTGCCTGAAATCATAAGGGCAGGGAAATCGAAACGGGCTAATGCCTCTCCGATTTCCGGGTCGGATAGCAATCCTTTGACACGGCACGGCAGCGGCCCTACTCTGGCGATATTGGGCCAGGCTCGACGCCAAACGCTGGCCGCTGCTGAAACTGGACGCCCGTGACGAGGAGTATGACCATGGAATTCGGATTGTTCATGATGCCGCTGCATCCACCCCACCGTTCATACGCTGATTCCTATGATCGGGATCTGGACCTGCTGCAGGAAGCCGACCGTCTGGGCTTTCACGAGGCCTGGATCGGGGAGCATTTGACCGAGCGTTGGGAAAACGCGCCGTTTCCCGACCTGTTGATAGCCAAGGCATCGGCGTTGACGAAGAACATACGGCTGGCCACTGGCGTCACCTTGTTGCCCATCCACAATCCGATCGAATTGGCACACCGGATCGCGATGCTGGACCACCTGACGCGGGGAAGGCTGTATTGGGGGATCGGGCACCGGGCGATACCTACCGACCTGGCGCTGTTCGGCTTGGACCCATCGAAAGGCGAAGAGGTGCGCCGCCGGGCGGCAGAAGTGCTGGACGTGGTGCTGAGCCTGTGGGCCTCGGAAGGGCAGTTTTCTTACCACGGCGAGTTCTTCGATATTGAAGCCCCGGAGCTGGATCCGGTGCTGGAGCGCGGCTGCACATGAAACCGCTGCAGCAGCCCCACCCGCCCATCGGGGTTGCAGCGACGTCCATCGGGAGCAGCAGCATACGAGTGGCGGGCCGCGAAGGCTGGATACCCATGAGCAGCAGCAACCTGGCGCCGCAGTTCCTGAGCGACCACTGGACGACGGTTGAAGATGCGGCGGCCGAGGCCGGCCGGCAGGCCAGCCGAAGCGACTGGCGCATCGGCCGGGACGTTTTCGTTGGCGAAACCAGCGAACAGGCGCGCGAACGTGCCTACGCTGTGCTGGGTCGGAATTTACCTGCAGCATCAGCTGCCCAACCGGCTGGGATCGGGACTGATCCAGGCCACCAAGATTGATCCCAACATGAGGGACGATGAACTGACCGTCGAGTACATGATGGAGAACATCTGGATTGTGGGTGACCCGGACGAATGCGCCCAGCGGATCCGCCAGCTTTACGACGAAGTGGGTGGTTTCGGTCATCTGTTGTGCATTACGCAGGACCCTGACGACCACCAATGGGAGATGGACTGCCTGCGGTTGATTGCCGAAGAGGTGGCGCCGCGCGTGAGCGATTTGACGGGGGTTTCCGCGTAACGATCCAGCGGTCTGGCGAGAAAGATGGGGCGGGATGCAAATCCCGCCCTTTTTGATTGCCTGGGTGTGTGATGGGCTGCTTTGGTCAGGCGGTTGAGTCGATGGGTGTCAGTGGAGGATACGCCCCTCGCCGCCGGCCCCTCTCCCAACGGGGGAGAGGGAGCCGAGTCCAACATGGATGAACAGGATTTTGGGCTGTGGTTTGCTGGGTTATTTGAATGCGGGCAGGACGTGCTTGCCGAACATTTCGATGGATTCCATGACCTTGGCGTGTCCGACGGTTTCGGTGGCCATGAGAAATTGCAGCTGGTCGACGCCGGTTGCTTCGTGAAGTTTGGCGGCCTTGATACAGCTCTCGGGGTCTCCGGCGACGATTACGCCGCGGTCGGCCAGGGTATCGGCGTCGAATTCCTCCCAGATTTTTGGGCCAGAGCAGTTCCGCCAGACAGATCCACCGCACCGGCTTCACCGGCTTCGCCTTCGGGCTCGACTTCGATATAGCGAGAGAAATTCTGCTGCAGATGCTCGGGGATTCCGCCCCACTGGTCGAGCAAACGTGAGTAGACGTCCTTCTGGTCCTGCACGTAGGGTCGGCCGGGACCGAAGAAGGTTTTAAGAGAGTCGGCGCAGAGTTGCCGGGTAGCCGAGCCGTCGGCTCCGCAGAGCCCAAACACGGAGCTGAGCCACTGGTTGTTGACGGTTTTGCCGACCGGTTGGCGTTTTTGATGTTTTCGCGGTACGCCGAGATGTGAGGGGCCAGTATGGATGGGGCCGATATGCCCAGCGCCATTACTCCGATGCCCTTTTCGGCGGCCAGTTCGTAGGTGGCCGGCTGCAATGCGGCTACCCAGATGGGCGGATGTGACTGCTGGTAGGGCTTGGGCAGGACCTGACGGGGTGGTACGTTCCAGTATTTGCCTTCCCACTCGAAGTAGTCGGCATCCCAGATTTTAGGGATCATCTGCAGAGATTCTTCCCACATTTCGCGGGTTTCCCGGGGATCGATGCCCATGCCGGTCTGTTCGTAGGCAGCGCTGCGGCCGGTGCCCAGATCGACGCGACCGCCCGACAGGTGATCCACCATGGCAACGCGCTCGGCGACTCGGATCGGATGGTGGTAAGGCAGGATGACTACGCCAAAACCGAGACGGATGTTTTTGGTGAGGCGGCTGAGGGCTCCGAAGATAACCTCCGGGCATGGAGACATGCTGAAGGTGGTGAGAAAGTGATGTTCTACGAACCACACGTAGTCGAAACCCATCTCGTCGGCGAGACAGATTTGCTCGATGGTTTCTTCGATGACGGCGTGGTCGTCCAGTTGAGGACGCTGCATTTCGTAAGCCAAACCGAATTTCATAAGGATTTTCCCCTTACCAACGGACGCAGTTGTGCGGCGCTGGTGTCGTTGTCGGATGGTGAGATTCTACCCGCAGGCAAGTTAGGGGGCAACCGGACGGGCGTGGCGACGGGATTGCCACGTTGCTGCGCTCCCCGCAATGACGGGAGTTGCCTTAACAATGTCTTGATTATTTGGCCGTAATCTATGTTTGTGGGGATCATGGGTTATCCTGTGTTTGATGAATCCAGGCAACTGGACGAAGGAGACCTGCAATCATGAAAGTAGTTCGCCAACCGATAAGCGCCGCATTGCTCATGGCGGTGATGATCACGGCGGCAGCGATGGCCTGCGGAGCGCCTGCAGACGAGCCGGGCGCGGCCCAAGCCGGGCCCACCACGGCCTCCAACGCCGATCAAACGGTTGCCACCGCAGCTGAGCCACCGGCAACAGCCCCAGCTGCCGAGAGCCGGGCGCCGGTGAGCGCGGCGGGTGATAGCACCGAAGCAGCCACTGCGACGCCGGCCCCCATGCCAACGGCGGGTGATCCCGCGGCGGATGCTGCCACTGGCAGCAACGTCGTTTTCACGCTGGTAGAAGGGAGTGTAGCGCGGTTCAAGGTGGAGGAGGAGTTGGCGAGGACCGGCTTCAAGGTGGCCACGGGCGTAACGCAGGACGTGGCCGGCTCAATTGCATTCGCAGCCGACGGAACGGTCATTGCGGACGAGAGCCGAATGGTAGTGATGGCGGCAACGTTGACCACGGACAGCAACCGGAGGGATGGATACGTACGACAGCGGACGTTGGAGACTGACCAATATCCGGATGTGGTGTTTGTACCGACCAGCGTGGCAGGTCTGCCAGAATCTCTGGCAGGGGCGAGTGGAACGGTGGAATACACCATCACGGGCGATCTGACCATCAAGGATCAGACGCGGGAGGTTACGTGGGATGCCACGGCGGAATTTGATGGCGCCGGCAACGTGTCGGGCATGGCCAGCGTGGAATTCACGTTTGAGTATTTTGATATGGACAAGCCCAGCGTGGCTGTGGTGTTGAGCGTGGACGATACGATTCGGCTCGAGCTGGACTACGTGGGTACGATTACTGAGGAATAGTCGCTGCGCGCCCGGTTCACGGGGCCGTGGCGGTTGAAGAGTGATTGACATGGCAAAGGTGTTGATCGTAGAGGACGATCCCCATACTCGAGAACTGGTGCGCGTCTACCTGGACCGGGAGGGACACGACGTGCTGACTGCCGAGAACGGTATCGACGGTCTGCGAGTCGCCCGGGAAGAAGCGCCAGACATAATCCTGCTCGATTTGATGCTGCCTGGAATGGATGGCCGTGACGTGTGCCAGTCGTTGCGCGGGGAGTCGGATGTGCCCATTGTGATGCTGACGGCCCGGGTACAGGAGGGAGATCGGCTGGAGGGGTTTGATCTGGGAGCGGACGATTACATCACCAAACCGTTCAGCCCTCGGGAGGTAGTGGCCCGGATTCGGGCGGTGCTCCGGCGCGCCGCGCGGGACCGGCAGGACGAAGAAAGGCAAATGGGCGAGCTGACCATTGGAGAAGTTCGCGTGGACCTGCGCAACCGGAGTGTGACCTCCGGTGAAGCGGATGTTAAAACGACACCCACCGAATTCAGATTGCTGACACTGTTTGCCAAAGAACCGGGCCGGGTTTTCACGCGCGATCAGATAATTGAACGGGCGTTTGGTTACGACTACGACGGCTTCGATCGAACGGTGGACGTGCACGTTTCGAGTCTGCGGCGGAAGCTGGAAGCGACCAACGGGGGCAAACGCATAATTCACACCGTTTACGGCGTGGGTTACCGGGTTAGCGATGTCTAGCAACGGTGTGAACAGCCGGTGGGAATGGCGGCATCCATTCCGGAGTCTGCGGGCCCGAATGCTCCTGGTGCTAGGGGCGGTGCTGGTGTTGACGCTGGTGCTGGCGAGCTTCGTCAGCGGTGTGATGACCCATGCAGCGCTGGATTCTTATGAGACCACCGACCGGTTGTTTCTGGAACGCCGATTGTCGCAGGTGGTGTCGCGTTGGCATGACGACCATCGCGGTTGGGATCGGCTGGATGCTGCGGTAACTCAGATCGGGCCGGCGTTGGGGAGGCGGGTTGTCATACTGGACGAGGGGGGAGACGTCGTTGCGGATTCTTACCGGATCCGCCCAGATCACCAAACTGCAAAGCACACGGTTCCGGCGATGAAGATCAGCGAAAGCACGCCGATCAGCGGTGGCGCAGGCGAAACCATTGGTTATTTGCTGATACCGGAACCACCCGATGAGCAATATGCCCCGCCCGGATTCAGCATCATCCAAAGGAGTGTGACCCGTTCGCTGCTCATCGGTGGGGTGGCGGCTGGAATGGTTGGGGTGCTGCTGGTTGGGCTGACGGCCAACCGGACGCTGGCGCCGGTGCGACAACTCAGCGCGACGGCGCTGCGGTTCGGGCGAGGCAACCTGTCGGAACGGGTGCCGGTGACAGGTCCGACGGAACTGCGTGGGTTGGTGGTGGCGTTCAATACGATGGCGGACGATCTGGAACGCAGCGATTCTCAACGGCGGAACATGACAGCCGACGTGGCCCATGAATTGCGGACGCCGCTGTCGAACATCCGCGGGTATCTGGAGGCCATCAAGGACGGCGTGGTGCCAGCGGATTCGGCAACCATCGATACGCTGCATCAACAGTCGCTGCACCTTTCGGAACTGGTCGACGACCTGGCGCTGCTGGCGAGCGCCGAAGCGGGTGCGCTGACGCTCAACGTCCAGGAGGTGGAGCTGGGTCCGGTGCTGAAGGATGCCGTGGACGCTTTCCAGCCACGAGCGAGAGCGGACGGGGTGAATCTGTCGCTGGACGTTTCCGATGCGCTGCCAGCTGTTTCCATCGACCCGATACGGGTGAGGCAAATAATCGGCAACCTGGTGGACAATGCGATCACGCACACTCCGTCAGGCGGAACCGTTGCGGTGGTTGCCGAGGTCATCGCCGGCGACCCGGACGGCGTGCGAGGGGTGAACGTGTCAGTTACCGACACCGGGAACGGAATACCGCCGGACGAACTGGGGCAGATATTTGAGCGGTTTTACCGGGTGGATCCGTCGCGGTCGCGGGTGACCGGAGGAGCGGGACTGGGACTGACGATTGCCAATCAACTGGCGGTTGCGCTGGGCGGGCGATTGACCGCGGAAAGCAGGCTGGGAGAGGGCAGCAGTTTCACGCTCACCCTGCCGGTGGACGATGGCGAACCATCCGGCCAGGGCGGGCCGATCAGGCGGTGATACGGACGATCTCCCTTTGGACCGGAGACGAAGCGTAGGGTCCTTCGTCGCCCATGAAGGCGTCGATTTCGGAGCGGACGCCGAATTCGGGCAGGTAAATACCGGGCTCGATGGAGAATCCGATTCCAGGGATGATGCGGCGGGTGTCGTGGGTCTCAAAATTGTCGAGGTTGACACCTTCGCCGTGCACGGTGTGGTAGATACTGTGTCCCAGGCGGTGGGTGAAATATTCCCCGTAACCGTGGTCGGCAATGTGGCTGCGGGCGACATCGTCTGCCTGCCAGCCCTGGACTGATTCCCCGCGGGAATGGCAGTTTTGCAGAAACGTAAGGGCAGCGTCCCGGGCTCCGACTACGATATCGAAGACACGCTGGTGATGCTCGGGCGGCTGCTCGCCCACGTAGGCCGTCCACGTGATGTCGGCGTAGACGCTGCCGGGAGTGTTTTCGCGGGCCCAAAGGTCGATGAGCACCCAGTCTCCGGGATGAATGACGCTGCTGCCGTGCTCGGCCGGTTCGTAGTGGGGGTCGGAGCAATGGGCGTTGGTGGAAACGATGGGGCCGTCGGTGGTGGTAAGGTTCTGCTCCCGAAAACGGCGGCGGATGAATTCTGCTATTTCGAATTCGGTTAGGCGCTCGGACAGGCGGGCGCCGATGCGGGCGAAGGCTTCGTTTACGATGCGACCGAGAGCGTCAGCGGCGCGACGATGGCCATTCAGTTGCTCGGTTGACCATCGCTGGGTGGCGTACTGCATCAGGTCGGCGGAAGAAACGACCTCGGGTCCCATGCTGCGGACGAGTTCCACGGTGCCGGCATCGACGCGAGACACGCGGGGCAGGCTGTTGAATGGTGAATATTCCATGGCAATCTGTTGGGTGGCGGCCAGTGCGTCGCGCAACGCTGATTCCAGGCTGGTGCGGCTGCTGTAAACGACGGTATCGACGTTGGAGTCGGCGAATTTCCCGGCATCGACGTGGTGGGTGAGCAGGCGCGCCGCACCCTCGGAAGGAACGAACAGGAACACCGGGCGCGTGACGTGCCCGGAAGCAGGAACTACCTGGGCGAGGACGGGGTTGCAACCAAGGTAGTCGTAGATTAGCCAACCCGACAGATTTTCAGTGTGCAGGAATTCGCGGGCATCGTCGAGCATTTGTTGATCGGCCATGGAATGTCCTGTTGGCGGGTCGGGCGCGGCGAAGATACGGATTACGGGTTGAGGGGATGGTTTGGGCAAACGCCGCCGGGTTCAGTTAAGCGTGGGTATGGTGAATTCCACCGTCCACGATGATGTTGGCGCCAGTCATGTAGGAGGCTTGCTCGGACGCAATCATGCAGACTACGTCACCGATTTCGTGGGGCTTCCCGAGTCTTTTCATGGGTGAGCCGGACTCCATGTCGACCATCATGGCCTCGACGCGAGCTTCGACGTCGGCTTCGCCGGCGTTGGCTCCCAACTCGTAGATGACGCTGGAGCGCAATGATTCCTGGGTTTCTTTGGAACGGACGCCGGCGTAGATAACGTTGTTGACGGTGATGTTTGCTGCGGCGAGTTCGGAAGCCAGGCCTTTGAAATAGGCCAGCAACGGAGCCATGCTGAGAGCGGAGAGTGCGCCCTGTGGACCGACCTCGAGGGCGGACAGGGAAACGAGGTTGATGATTCTTCCAGCGCCGAGGCGTTTCATGTGGGGTACGACCTCGCGGGTGAGGTGGACGGCAGAGCGGAAGTTTCGGTTGAGAGCCGGATCGATTTTTTCGTCGTCGAGCAGGCTGGCCGGCGACACGGACTGGTCTTGCACCGCAGTGACCAGAATACCAACGTCGCCCTGACGATTCAGCGTTTCGCGAACCAGACGGCGCACGTCCTGTTCCCGGTCGAGGTCGGCGATAACACCGCGGAACCGCTCTTGAGGTATGTGCAGACGGGCGAGCTCCAGCTCCACGTGGCGCAGGTGGCTATTGTCGGGTGCGGACAGGGCGAGGAGGGCGCCCTCTTTGGCCAGGGCGGCGGCGGCGGCGGTGGCGATTGATAATTGCGAATCGACCACTATGGTGACTTTGTTTTCCAGCCCCAGATTCATTTGAGAATCCTCACACTACCCGATTAATCCGTGATCAGATCACGCCAGCGGCAACCATGTTTTCAACTTCGGAGGTTGAATACCCCAGCGACGTTAATATCTCGCCGTTGTGTTCGCCAAGCAATGGTGGGGGTTTGTCGAGGCCGCCGGGTGTTTCGGAGAATTTGATGGGCAGACCCGTTTGTTTGATGACGCCCAGCGTTGGATGGGTCATTTCCAGCAGCATTTCACGGTGGATAACCTGTGGGTCGCTGAACACGTCGGCCAAGTCATTGATAGGCCCGGCGGGAACGCTGACGGCTTGCAGATCGGTGACCCAATCGTCGGCATCGCGGGCGAGGAAGAATTCCTGCAGCAGGGGCACCAACTCCGAACGGTGGTTGACCCGGGCGCCGTTATCGATGTAGTTGGGGTTCTCGTGCAAGTCCATTCGATCGATGCCCTGGCAGAAGCGGTCCCACAGGCGATCGGAGCCCACAGCGACGTTGAAATATTTGCCATCTTTGCCCATGAACGCCTGATAGGGCACCAGCGTGGGATGGGCAGCGCCGAGGCGTTGCGGAGCCTGGCCGGTGGCGAAGTAATAGCCGGCCTGGTAGGTCATCCAGGCAACCTGGGAATCCAGCATGGACAGGTCGATATTTTGACCCTTGCCGTCGGAGCCAGCCCGGTGGAACAGAGCGGTCATGATGGCGAAAGCGGCCCACATGCCGGCGCCGATGTCGGCAACGGCGATGCCCACCTTCTGCGGATCGCCGCCCAGGTCGCCGGTGATGCTCATGATGCCGCTGATACCCTGCATGATCTGATCGTAGGCGGGGCGGCTCTGATACGGCCCGGTGGCGCCGAACCCGGAGATGGAGCAATAGACGACGCCGGGGTTCACCTGCTTAATGGTGTCGTAGTCCAGGTTGAAGCGACCCATCACGCCCGGGGTGAAATTTTCTACCACCACATCGGCGTCAGCAGCGAGCTTAAGAAAAACCTGCTGCGCCTTCTCGTCGCGAAGATTGAGCGTGAGGCTGCGCTTATTGCGGTTAACGGACAGGAAGTAGGCGGATTCTTCACCGATGAAGGGGGGACCCCACTTGCGGGTGTCATCCCCGCTACCGGGCATTTCGATTTTGATGACATCGGCGCCGTAATCTCCGAGCATCAGGGTGCAGAAAGGTCCGGCCAGGGCGCGGGTAAGGTCGAGCACCTTGATGCCATCCAATGGTTTCATAATCAGGTATACCTCCACTAGCGCCGGCCCGATTGATTTCGGGCACCTGACGCTTGCCGCCGGCATTATAGCGCAACCGGCTGTGAATTATGGGTGTCCGGAAGCCATTAGTGTCATTGATTGTTGTCGGGCATCCGGGTAGTTGGTGTGCGGCGGGATTGCCACGTCGCCGCGCTCATAGCAATGACAGGCGGTGGGATGATCCTTCGACGGGCTCAGGATGAACGGAAGTGAGGGCGTGTATTTACAGTGAGGGCGTGTATTTACATGGATGAACAGGATGGATAGGAATTTGAGCGCGGTGGGCGGCGGGATTGCCACGCCGCCCACTGCGCTCCTCGCAATGACAGGCGGTGGGATGATCCTTCGACGGGCTCAGGATGACCGGAAGTGAGGGCGTGTATTTACAGTGAGGGCGTGTATTTAAATGGATGAACAGGATGGATAGGAATTTGAGCGCGATGGGCGGCGAGATTGCAACGCCGCCGCGCTCCTCGCAATGACAGGCGGTGGGATGCGCGGGGGTTCCTATCTTATCGCCGCGTTGGTATCATGGGCATATCGGGGTGGTCGCAGGGAAAGATGCGATGAATATAGGAGGGAATCATGGGATATAAGCCGAGAAATCTAGGACACATCAACCTTTACGTACGTAATGCGGAAAAGGCTCGCGACTGGTATGAAGACCTGCTGGGTTTGCACACCTACGGATTCAGACCCGGACGTGCTGCATTTATGACCGCCGATCTGGACAACTCCCACGAGATTGCCCTGACCGAGGTCGGGGAGAACGCCGAGGGCCCGCATGGAGGCCAGGTGGGTTTGAACCACATGGCGTGGTACATGGACAGCCTGGACGATCTCAAAGAGCTTTACCACCGGGTTAAAGAGAAGGGCATCGAAATCGAGCACGTTTCAGACCACGGGCATGCCATTGGGGTTTACATTCGCGACCCTGACGGCAACGGAATTGAGCTTTCCTACGAGATGCCCAGGAGCGAATGGGGCCACGACGAAAACGGGTATATGATCGGGGGCACGGAGAAAGGACGTATGCCAGGTCCGTGGGATGAAGAATTGGCGCAGAACGCGGCGGCGGCCGCATCCAGATAAACGGACGCTTCAAGTTTGACCGTGTCGGGGCGCTAACCAGCGCCCCTTGTCATTTTCAGGATGATCCTTCGACGGGTTCAGGATGAGCGGGATTGGGACGGAATACGACGCAGCCTCTTCGGAATCGTCGTCGGAATCGCCGTATGGTAATATGACGCCGTTAGACTGGCTGCCGGCACTCCTTGCTGGAGGGTATTGCGGCGAGTCGTGCGAGATTGACGCTTCGGGCCGGGCCGATCGATGACGCGATTCTTCGGTGGAACGCCCGCGGCTTTTTAGAGTAGGGAAGTAAGAACCAGAATTGGCAGGTGCATAATGACCACCACTCAACAATCGACCGCAACCGATGGATACCGAGTAATCGGCAGCCGGCCGATACGACACGACGGAACCGACAAGGTTACGGGCCGCGCGCAGTATGGCGCCGATTTTCGGCTGCCGGGCTTGCTGCACGCCAAAGTACTGCGGAGCCCGCACGCTCACGCCCGGATCAAGAGCATCGACACTTCTCGGGCCGAGGCAATGCCTGGAGTAATGGCTGTGGTTACTTCCGCAGACTTTCCTCAGCCGGGCGGCCGGGTGGTCGATCTGGGCGAGGGGGCGATGATCAACCCCAAATTCCTGAGCAATAACTGCCTGGCTGCGGAAAAGGCGCTTTACAAGGGCCACGCAATTGCGGCGGTGGCGGCGGATAACGCCCACACTGCCGAGGAAGCCCTGTCCTTAATAGAGGTCGAGTACGAGGTATTGACCCCGGTCTCCGACGTTTTGGAGGCGATGCGGGACGATGCCCCGCTGGTTCACGAACGGTTGGCCAACCTCAACGATCCCAGCGTTAGGCCAGGCGGACTGATGGCGGAGGGAGACACCGGCAAGACCGGAAACGTGTCGAACCGCTATTTCTACGAGCTTGGCGACCTGGACGCAGGGTTTGGCGAGGCGGATATCGTGATCGAACGCGAGTTCCGCACCAAGGCGGTGCACCAGGGATACATCGAGCCGCACGCGGCGACCGCCCTGTGGAACGCCGATGACACGCTGACCATTTGGTGCAGCAGCCAGGGTCATTTCAACGTGCGGGACCAGACAGCGACAATCCTGGGCATGCCGGTATCCAAGATCCGGGTGGTGCAACTGGAGATTGGCGGTGGATTCGGCGGCAAAACGCTGGTTTACCTGGAGCCGGTGGCCGCGGTTCTATCCCGCAAAACTGGCCGGCCGGTGAAGGTGGCTATGTCGCGAACCGAGGTGTTCGAAGGGACCGGTCCGACGTCGGGCGGATACCTGCGCGTCAAGATGGGCGTCACCAATGCCGGCAAGATTATAGCGGCGGACGTTTCGCTGTATTACGAAGCTGGCGCTTACCCCGGTTCACCGGTGAACCCTGGCGCGCAATGTGCATTGTCCTGCTACAACATTCCCAACGGGAAGATCGAGGCGGCGGACGTGGTCTTGAACCACCCGAAGACCGCGGCCTATCGGGCGCCAGGATCTCCGGCGGCCGCTTACGCCGTTGAGTCGGTGGTGGACGAGTTGTGCGAATCGCTGGGCATGGACAAGCTGGAATTCCGGGCGTTGAACGGCGCGAGGGAAGGAGACCGGCGTGTTACCGGGCCTCAATTTGGCAGCATTGGCTGGCAGGAGACGGTGCAGGCGGCGCGCGATCACGACCACTGGAACTCCCCGATTGACCGGTCTGCGGAAGCCGAAGGGAAGAAGGTAGGCCGCGGAGTCGCCGGTGGATTCTGGTTCAATGGCACCGGGCCGGCCAGCGCCATCGTCAGCGTACTGGCCGACGGATCGGTTACGCTGGTGGAGGGTTCTCCCGACATCGGGGGAAGCCGGGCAGTAGCAGCAATGCACGTTGCGGAAGTGCTGGGCATCGCGGCGGAGGCGGTCAACCCGTCAGTGGGCGACACCAACTCGGTCGGGTTCACCTCGATGACCGGCGGCAGCGGGGTGGCCTTCAAGACCGGCTGGGCGTCGTACGAGGCGGCGCAGGACGTGAAAGAGCAGATGATTCAGCGCGCCGCCCGGATCTGGGACATCGAGCCCGATAACGTTGAATATGCCGACGGCGTGATTCAGCACAAATCGGAACCGGAACTGCGCTTTACCTTCCAGCAGCTGGCTGCCCGCCTGAACGGGACCGGTGGGCCGATTGTGGGAAGCGCCAACGTTGACCCTCGGGGAGCCGGGGGCGCATACGCGCTGCATATCGCAGACGTGGCGGTGGACGTTGACACGGGTAAGGTGGACATCCTGCGCTACACCGCCATTCAGGACGTCGGCACTGCGATTCACCCGTCCTACGTGGAAGGGCAGATACAGGGCGGCGCCGTGCAGGGGATCGGTTGGGCGCTCAACGAAGAGTATTTCTTCAACGACAACGCCGAAATGCAGAATTCCAGCTTCCTCGACTACCGGATGCCGACGGCCCTGGACCTGCCGATGATCGACACGGTGGTGGTTGAAGTCCCCAACCCGGGTCATCCGTATGGAGTGCGCGGAGTGGGCGAGGTTCCGATTGTGCCGCCCATGGCCACCATCGCCAACGCCATCCACGACGCATTGGGGGTCAGGATGAACAACCTGCCGATGAATCCGGGATCGGTGCTGGAAGCGCTGTGGGGGAAGGACGGTAAGTAGCATCGGCGCGGATTGATCCCGATTGATTTGGTGCAAATATTTCAATAACAGATCGCCGGTAACAGATCGCTGGGGCGGATGATTATCTGCCACGGCGTCTGTTGCTAATCTGGAGGATAGCTATGACAACTGAACAACGGACGGATGCGAAACCATACGTGGTGCATGCGGTGGGCGACCCGTCGGAGACGACACAGACCCCGGGGATGGTGCGTCAGCCGGCGATAATGCCGGGCAAGGGTGAGACCACCAAGATCTGGATGGGGAAGGTGACGGCAGCGCCGCGGGAGAAAGGGCCGCCCCACACGCACCTCGAAGCCGAGACTGCCGCCTACGTGTTGCAGGGGCACGTTAGGGTGTGGTTCGGGGAGAATTTTGAGCAATCGATTGAGGCCGGGCCGGGAGATTTCATCTTTGTGCCGGCAAATACGCCTCACATCGAAGAAAACCCATACGATGAAGAACAGATCGGCATATTGTGCCGGGCGCCAGACAACATCGTGATGAATTTGTAGAGACGTGTGGCACAATCGGTGCCAACGCAAATCGGCAGGACGCGCCCGTCCCGACGCCGATCGGGGTGCAGCACGCAAGACCGACAGAAATCATCAATCATCGAGGAGGAATCAGACATGGCAGACGTAAAAGTACAAATCCGGGGCAACGGCCCGTTGAGGGTCATAGGCGAGATCGAAATTATTGACCAGAGTGGGAACCAGTACGCGATTCCCGAGGGTCAGTGGGTATCTTTCTGCCGCTGTGGACAGTCGGACAACAAGCCGTTTTGCGACGGCACGCATCAGGACTGCGGATTCGAAGCGCCCAGCGAGGCCAAGTAATCGTTCGCAGAATCTGAGCGCAGCATTCTGAAGCCGCCAATTGTCTGGGAAATGCCCCGGAGACTGGCGGCTTTTTTGGCGCGGGCGTTCAGGATTGCCGACGCAACTGCGGGGTTGCGTGGCAAGCGTATAATCTCAACCAAAATAAACCAGCAAAGCAAACCAGCAGGGGGTGCCAAATGGTTACCACGACGCCGGCCCGTCTAGCGGCCGAACTAATCTTCGAAAAATACCAGTCCGTGAAGCCCTTTGATCGACTCCCGGATAACCTGTTCCCGAAGACGCTGGAAGAAGCCTACGGGATTCAGAGAGAACTGCACTGCATGTTGTCGAGCATCTGGGGGCCGTTGGCCGGGTACAAGCTGGCTTATACCACGCCGGTGATGCAGGAACGGGCCGGTCTGGATCATCCGGTATTGGGCGCGTTGTTCAAAAAGGTGATTTCGCGCTCGCCGGTGGTATTGAACTACACCGAGTACGTGAACCTGGGCATTGAGCTGGAGGTTGGAGTTACGCTGGGTCGCGACCTGCCGGTGTCGGGAGCGCCCTACACCCGGGAAAAGGTGGCCGAAGCGGTGGCGGAGGTGGCAACGGCGTTTGAAATCGTGGACATGCGGACACCGCCCGACCTGACCACCGAAGAACGAACGTTGTTCAGCGTGGCCGTCAACATTCTGAATTCGGGCATCGTTCTGGGCGATCCGATTACCGACTGGCAAAGCAAAGACCTGGTGAACTGCAAAGGCGTGATGACAATCAACCACGAGCACGTGGGCGAGGGGTATGGCCGTGATGTGATGGGTCATCCCTTCGAGCCGCTGGTGTGGCTTGCCAACGAACTGGCGAAGCACAACCACCCACTGAAGGCAGGGGACGTGGTTATTACGGGAAGCCTGGTGCCTCCGACTCCGCTGGAATTTGCATCGGAAGGCCGGATTTCCATTGAAGGATTGGGCGAGGCCGTGGTGGTGGTGGCCTGACCCCGGAACAGGGTAGTACGTCAGGGTGGTACGGTGGGGTAGTACGTTGATGACCGGCGCGATCAATCCGGGGTGGGTTGGGGTGCAGCGCCGGTTTCAACCCAGAGGGTGTACACGGTGCGGCGGGGCAGTCCGGTTGCGGCGACGACCTCCGCCACCGCCTGGCGGCCACGCATTCCGATGGCGCGCCGTTCCAAAAGGGCCAGACGGGCTGCTTCGATCACAATAGCCGGGGACGCATCCGCTCCCCGGCTATTGTGATCGATGGGCGGTGCGCCGATAACGATTGTGAACTCGCCACGGGGCTGCGTGAAATGAAGCAAAGCGTCAGACGGGCGACCGCGCCAGATCTCTTCGTGGAGTTTGGTGAGTTCGCGGCACACCGCCACCGGGGTGTCGTCGAGTGTGTCGGCAATGTCGGACAGGGTGGCACGCAGACGGTGGGGGGCCTCGAAGATGACGAGGGTGCATCCGGATAGCGAGCCCTCCTGGAGCGCGGCGACCCGGCCGTTGTGCCGTCGTGGCAAAAATCCCAGGAACAGAA